GCATCTATCGCGGCGACCCAATCGCCCCGAAAACTTCTTACGATAAGTCCACAGCCACCAACACCAGGTTCATGAGCCAGTCAGAGGAGCCAGGGCGGGTACCCGTCAAGGGACCCCAGAAGGATGCGCAGAGAAAGTCAGAGGAGGAGCAAGAATTCCTTTGCCACTTCGAGGGATGCAAGTCGGGTGTCGCTGGAAATGGTTTCCGTCATGTGGAATACTTCAAGGCACACGTCCAGAATTACCATGTGGGCTTACCAGAGCCGACATCTCAGGATACCGACAGGTCCTCATCGACCGAATCCCAGATGCCGGGCCACAGACCGGCGACACAGGAGCTGTCAGCGTGGGCCGTGTCCCGGGAGCGGCTTAACATAGGGGAGGCTTGGGACCCAGTGTTCCCTATTTGGCCTGACCTTGCTGGTGACGAGTTACCACGCATCGACTCCGGGTACTCGTCGGTAAGATATACCTTAACTAAAACCGACGCCAAACTTTCGTGTGGTACGAAACAGCAGGAACCAGATTGCGAAGGCGAAATAGGGACCGTCTCCTCGGCAGCCACCACCGTGGATGTCTTTCGCGCCCATGACTACGTCCAAGAACTCTGCCGAGATATCCGGGCCAGGCTTCAAGACCACATCCAGCAAGACGACTGGCCGAGCCTCCGAAACATCCTCCCCCGGCTCATAAAGACCTTTGCCTTGAAGCTGGGCGAAGGCGCTTCTTCCTTAGACGAGCAGAGAATCATGCTTTTTCTGCACAAGCGTCATAGGTATGGAGCTCTTGACTGCAAGGAAAACCAGACTGATTTGATCATAGAGAGATTTTCACCGAGCTTGGGAACCTCTTCGAAGCCCCCGCCCTTCCCAAAGAGAGTGGAGATGATCCTGAGCGTATATCTCTGCTTGATAAGATGGCGTTGTGGGACAGACAGTCATGGAGCATTGAACACAATACCGGCCCCCCTGCGGACCTCTTTGACGGCGTGGTCGACCAACCAGACAGGGAAGATGAAGTCAACGGCCTGGTTGAGCTTCCTGCCTACAGCAAGGTTGTTTTGCGCTCTCCGGCGTACACCTGGTTGATTTCAACAATTCTGAGGCAGAACACGCTGAGCTGGGCCACGGTTGAAGGGCCCCTTGCAGCCGAACGAGTTTCACAGAAAGTCCATGAAGCGTTATCTTCCGGCCTTACCAGCAAAGGACAGTGTCCAAGAAGGCATGCAATTGTGTTTCGACTGTTACTGGAACCCATTCGGGAGTTCTTTCGCGAAAAGAGTACCGACAACCAGGGAATGCGCGCGAGCATCTCAAAGACCAGGGTCATCACTTGCACGTCGAAACGAGAAAGCCAGGCCAGTACAATCGAGGATTATTTCTCCCAGACCTGGCCTGATAGTGGAACGGAGATACTAGGGGTACTCCAAGACGTTATGTGGGGTGCCCAAAGCCATTCATACTCGACACCAGCGCCTGACGAGACTCTGGTTCTTGTCCGCGTTGATCAACCTCACATTTATGTCAGCGTTATCGGGTCATCACACAGTCTAGCGCAATATTCTCAGAAACTCTGTTGGCTAGCCTCGATCTTTCGGCCGGCAGATGAGAGGGGTCTGGTGTTTTACACGCCGTCTGTTCAAGAGTCTTCCTCTCCGTTTTTTAACCGCAATGCGTTAATCTCGATCTCCTCCAAACCGGAGAATACGTCTGGCCATGACGAGAACGTGGCAGAACTAGCCCATCACATCTCTGAGAATCCTGGCCTTGACACCGGTACTGGTGTCGAAACTGGAGGTAAATCGCCGATGTTCGATATTGATGTCCAGGAAAGTCTTCGGGTAAGGGCAGGAGAGTCATGGTTTCCTTCTGTCGGTGCTCTCTGCCCTGATATTCGAGGTGTGGTAGGCTTCCCGATCCCTCGTCGACCTGAAGATATTCCTGGGATGGAATTCGGCCTTGAAGTCCTGGCAGAATTAATCGGCATGGAGGTGCCCATCGATAGTCGCCGTGGATTCTTGCTTAGAGGATCTCGGATGACGTTGGTATTGGTTCGTCGAATTGAAAATGTGTTTGTTTGGCAACGACTCGAAGCTAGCTCTGGAAAGCCACACAGGATGAGTTTCATTTCTTTCTCTGAGCTCCGGGATGGACGGCATATATGGCAAGAGGGTGAATATGATGGGCAAGATAGTTTGTCGCCTCCCAAGATTTCTGGTCTTCATTAACCGCTGACAAAGAAGCAGATGCTGGTTCACTCGGCCAGTCTCCCGTCTCGTTGAGCGAAACCAATCTCGAAAACATGTCAATATCCAGTGACTCAGAGAGGCCATGCGCTCGAAACCAAGAGCGACCTGGGTTCTCCTTCTTCAAGAGCATATTCAGCCGTCTTGTGGTCTCGTTTCAAACAAGACCTCAAGAGAGAGGAAACCAAGTCGGTACTTCTAGTAGCGCCAGCGGGTCCGCACATCGAATCGCTATGGATCAAGAGACGCCTAGGGGTGACACTCCAAGTCAGAAGCGTCTCCGAGACAATGAAGACGAGGGTAGCGGGAACGAGGACGTGGATCGACATCGCCGCAAACTGTTCAAGGAACCATCGTGCTCCTCCCGTCCCAGATTTCTGGCGTGTCCTTTCTGGAAACTAGACCCGGTAAAACACTGGGAATGCTTTACCAAAAGGCTGAAAGCCATCAGCTATGTGAAGCAACACCTTTCTAGGCGACACACACCAGACTTTTACTGCCAACGATGCTTCAAGGTCTTCGCCAAGGACATGTATGACGCATATGATGCGCACATGTTGGCATCTACGTGCAGCCGAGACGCTTCAGCAAAGCTCGAAGGAATATCGGGACCCCAGAGCAAGATTCTTTCAAGGAAGTCAGTAGGGACAGTCGAGGAGCAGTGGTTCGCGATGTGGAGAGTTCTGTTTCCGGAGCAAACCCCGCCAGCCACGGTCTATGTCGACTGTGATCAGTCTGAAGACTTTTGCTTGCTTCGAGAGTTTGCTCAGCGGGAGGGTGTTACCATTCTGCAGCAGGAGCTCCAAGCCCGCGGTCTACTCTTGAGGAGTGGAGTTTCTAATCAACAAGTGCAGCAAACGCTGAGGGAGGGTCTCGATGCCGTGTTTGAGCATTTCCGGATGAGCCGGAGCACAGTCGGTCCGGAGGATACGGCATCGGCGGTGGGCTCACAAGAGGCTTATGGGACTACGCAATGGCAACAGCGAACTCCGGCAGGGTCGAGCGCTGACAGTGGAATTGCAGTCGGTTCCTCGATGGCTACCACTGTCCATGGTCAAGCCAGCTCTACAGGGTCACTCCTGCCTCAGGGGGCTCTCGTGCTTCCAACCAGTCCGACAACTGTAGGAGCTGCCACAACTTCCACAGCAGCGGCGGGACCTAATCATAGTCAATCTGCTCCCGCATACGAAGTTACTTCCGGCTCTTCCACCGAATCGAACCCGCACATTGTGCTTGACCATGGCGCAGATCAGTCGGGAGGCTTTGGTGCGCCGAGAGAGCATGCAGCAAGTTTACAAATGTCTGGTTATGGTGCTGAGGAGGCTGGGGCGTTTGATGGGGATTCCTTCGACTGTTACTCTGCGGAAACAGACTTGGATGCTCTGATGGATAGCATTGTTTGGGACCCGTCATGCCAAGGTGAGTTTGAAATACCTTCATGTTGGGAAAGCTAGAAGAGGTGTGTATCTTCATTATTACTTATCAGACCCTGAAACACTTTTTTCAATTCCCGCACAGAGACCTTATAACACTTCCAGAATTGTGATGACGCCATCCTGATCTAGTCAATGCTTTCCGAATCAAGCAACACCGCTGTTGTCGAAGTCACCAGTCTCGAGTAGTTCCTGCTTCCTCAGCTCAGAGCATGCCTTTGCAGATCTTCCATACCACTCGGGAAGGAACTCCTCGGTGCCCTGAAAACATTTTATCTGTCGCTGACACGCAACCAAACCAGCTTCTCCCACATCATCCGGCACTCAGACTCGCAGCAGCAAATCCGCACCGACCGAGACCACAAACACACACCGTCAAACTATCTATATCCAATCTGATATCCAAGATGTTGATCCCGCGCCTCACATCCACACTCCTCGCGCTCGTCGCCGCCCTCGCCGCGGCGGTGCTCGCCACCCCTGCCGACCCGGCCGCCTTCTACAACCGCTGCAGCCTCTGCGGCTTCTACGAGCAGCACCGGATCCAAGCCATCTGCAACATCGTGACGACGACGACGACCACAACAACCACCACCAATCCCACACCCACCTCGACTTCCGCAGGAAGAGTTATCGACGACCTACCTGACATGTTTGTCAGCTCGGAGCTCGATCTGAATCAGTGCGTTGGGGTGGGGGAGGGGTATCTTGATCCTGTTGAGGAGTGAGTTCCCCTTTGGATACTTACCTAGTGAGGTTGGGGGGGTTGTTGTTGATGATGTGGTGGGGGCAGGGGTAATTATTTGGCTGTGTGCGAGCATTGCACGCTCAAGTGGGATGTTTCGGTCAATTTGACTTGGATTTGTCAGATTGATGAGAATCACTCTTTGAGGAGCTGGATTTCGCTTGGTAAGTTCTTTTTTTCTTTCTTCGCTTGTGGTGGGTGGTGGTTGTTGGGTTTTTGTTGTTGTTGCTGATGATGATGGGGGTGGTGGGTAGAGGATGTCATTGACAATACGAACGGGTACCTGGCTTGCTTTGGGGGCAAGTATTCGAGCTCGAAGCATATTTGTGGACAGGAGTGATGGATTTGGGGGGGAGTGGAGGGAGGGCATGGGTGATGAGTCGGGTATAAATTCAGGGGGTTGTCAACTGTTTTGGGATGTCATGATCTAGTTGATGGAGATGCATTAGAGCATCAAGATATGCTGCGAGTGATTGGCCTGAGAAAATAGGAACTGTCTAGGAATCTCCGGGCACAGACTTTACGATAGGGGCATATAATGTCGAGACACACTTACCCATTAACGACATCCCAAGAAGGGCGGGTAGCGCAGTGGTCAGCGTGTTCCTGAGCGTTTCAGCGTTGTTTTCTTCTCTACCTAAGTACCTCTCTTCAGCGTTTAGCGAAAGACCTGGGTTCGAATCCCAGCCCGCCCAAGCATTTCTTTTTTAGCTATCTCAGCATCAGGTAACGCGGTATATAGTCTCAAACCGCATTACCCTATTCAGTAAAAGCTGCAAAGGGCGGGTAGCGCAGTGGTCAGCGCATTCCCTGAGCGTTTCTCTTCTCTTTCCTACCTAAGCGGATTTCAGCGTTGATTTCTAATTATATGTTACAAGCGTTCATTGGAAGACCTGGGTTCGAATCCCAGCCCGCCCAAGCTCTCTTTTTTCAGGCATCTGATAGGGGTGCACCCCCGTTTTGCTACGGGTGCAAGTTGACATCATTTTAAAAAAGACGTATATATATTTGTCAAGGGCCTATTTACTATATATAAGTGGTTTTAAACGTATAAAGGTAAAGAAAAGTAAAGATTTAAGGCAGTTACGTTTATTCGCCACACCCCTAGATACGCGTTAGGTTGAGACCTTTTATATCTTATATCCGGTAAATAAAGGTTTAAGAACGTAATTAATAGTTTTTAAAGCCCTTATTAATGACCCTTTCGGCATTGCTGATACGCTAAAACGCTTGTGTTTGAGGATATAGGCGAAAAAAATCATCTTCAAGGGGATGCACCCGTAGCAAAAGGGCGGTACACCCCTATCAGACGCCTTTTTTTTACTCGTTCACGGCATCGGGTATTAAGGTATATAATCTCAAACCACACTACCCTGTTCAGTAAAAGCTCCAACGGGCGGGTAGCGTAGTGGTCAGCGCGTTCCTAAGCGTCTCAGCGTTGTTTTCTTCCCTAAGTACACCTCTCTTCAGCGTTTAGCGAAACTCCTGGGTTCGAATCCCAGCCCGCCCAAAGTCTTCTTTTTTGGCCCTACCTTTTTTTTTTTCCCAGAAAAAAGCCATCTGACGGGAATCTTTGTGCGCGCGCGCATGTGTGGTGAAGTAAGAACTGGCCCTTCAAAAGCTGTTATTAATCTATTTGTTCTGCTACCTGATTCGGTTGGCTCTGAATAGCTTCATCCGTTTGACTTGTTTGCCTGCATGTAAACAAAAAAATGTGAAGTGGTGACATCAGTCTACCGCGGCTCAGCAGCGCTGGCGACCGCTACCTGTCAGGGTCCCTGAATCGCCACAGTATCAGCATCAAGTAACGGCGGTATATAATCTTGATCCACAATACCCTATTCAGTAAAACAATCCAAAGGGCGGGTAGCGTAGTGGTCAACGCATTCCTAAGCGTTTCAGCGTTTGTTTTCTTCATTACTTTCTCAGCGTTTAGCGAAAACCTGGGTTCGAATCCCAGCCCGCCCATTCCAAGATCTCATTCTTTTTTTGCCATTTCAGCACTCACACACCCGAGTGATGGGCGCAGAGATACACACGCCCCTGAGACAGTCCATGTCCACTCCCATGGCACTGGTTCTGTCATAGACTTGAGGGCCTCATGCGCCTCGGGACTGGTGCAAGATAACTAATGACTAGATTTCCTTGTGTAAGCTTAGAACCTACCGGGTGGAGCCTTTACCTGCCTCTATTAAAGGGGTCCCGCCCGTTAGAGGTACTATGTTGTCGTTGTCCTTGCCTTCATAGCCTCTCTATTCAAGAAGCCACCCCGGGTTGCTTTGATTTTCTTCCCTGCCTGGGACTCGGGAGACGGCAGCCGGAGCCGGCCCGAAAGGGACCGTGGCGGGCCGCAAAGGGGGGCAGGTTCCTATATGCACCTAGGATAAACGACTTGCCTTGCTTTTCAAGCCATGTGGTTCCGGTGCCTGCATATTCGCCACTTAGGACATGTAACTAGCTAGCTAGCTGCTCGCATGCTGTCATCTCAACCCATTGAGGGGGAATGTTTACTGCCGGACTTGCATTCCCAAGCACGTCCCCACCCTCAGGAAAGGCAGAAATAGGTAAGCTACGTAGTTAAGGTATCTTATCTCCGCGCAGTCTCATTCTCGTCCATGGGATCTTGAGATCGCCGAGAGAAGAACTCTGCCTTAGTGGCTAGTGGTAACTTACTAGTTCGGTCAGCCATACAACGCTTATTGGTGAGCGAGGATTTGATGACGCAGTGGCTGTGATCAGTTACCTAGCTAAGGTAGCTAGTCGGACCGAGCCATGTTGGGTACCTACTACTAGTCGGGCCAGAGCCGCATCCACGCGTTTTTTTGTCTTCCTGTCCCTCTCGCAGATTGTGATCTGTTGAGATCGTGGGACAGAGATTAAAACCCTCGAGACAAGAGGACACGGGAACGCGAGGGCACGAGGGATATATGTCATACTGGGTGGGGGGTGGGCCGTCATACTGAGGAGGTATAGTCCCGTCTTACGCACGAGAAGAGGAGGAGGGACAGACAAAACAACGGTGGGGGTAATGGGGTTACCGGTGCGGGGGGAACTGGCACATGTGCAATACATCTCTCTAGGTTACATGGATGGGATGAGGTAATCTGGGTACCAAATATATTCTGATCTGTCCTAGGCCGGCTGATTTGCGTGCGTGATTTCGTGTGGGCTCAGGGTGCATTGCACTGACGCAACAGAAATGGAACGTGGAGCATGGGACGTGGAACGTGGAATGCTATGCCCGTGGGGTGATTACGCAGGTACGGATCAAAGCGTGACCTTTTCTTCGGAGGTTGAGACTGGTGCGGTAGCCTCCACTATGGAAATACGGGGCAGTTAGATCGACTGTATCCCTTTGCTAGATCGACGGACTCTGGCCTTTTTGGAAGAAGCTTACCTACCTATCTGTCGACACTGTGGCTTATTTACCAAAGGGGTTTCAAAACTATTATTACGCCTCCCTAAGCAAGTTATTGGCATTATTTCTTTGTGAATCGCCCTTTGAGAAGTTTTATCAGGCGTATTAAGCGATAGCTATCCTTCGTTGCATTTTCCAGAAGCTTGATATGGGGCTTTTTACCTGCAAAATCGTAATGGCAGAGCCCTTCACAAATGATTACCTAGAGTCCGTCGATTTAACGGAGCACACAGCCGATCTAACCGGCGCAATGGAAATACCACGAGGGATGCATGTGGTGACGACAGCTGCGAGATATCTGTATATCGGATCACAAAGAATAGGGATGAATATAGACAAAAGGGCATGGCAAAGGTCGGGGTATGTCTTGATGGTAGTAGAATAAATTATCAAGAGATGAGGGATTGGTCTCCGAAGTCTCTGGTTACCTGTTCAAGGTGATGTATACTCTCAGGCGGGTATATAGAAAGAGGAAAGTGTCGTTGACGAAACGAGGTCTGGAGTGGGTCAAACTTGGCGCATCAAGCACACCATCCGATGCTAGGCATGGTCTAACTATGTATGCAGAAATAGCAACTACTGGCTGCACAGGACGCCCTGGACATTGCCACCTACAGCGCCAGAGGCGGCGGTAGCCGGAACTGGGAAGAAATATCTACGCCGCTCCAGCCGCTTTGAGATAGAACCAATAGACGCTGTGCTCTGCCCGTCTTTCAATCTATTCTCTCAAGGGGAAGCAGCAAACGAGCATAGGGCTGGAGAGAAAGGGGCAATATCGTCATGCCCCGAACATCCGGGAGCTTGGTGCCATACTGAGGCTGAAAGCGACACTTGTCAGATGAGTTCGACCACATGTTCGATCAGTACCCCAAAAACCACTTTAACAGAGGATGAATGAAGAACATCAAAGTGAAAAACGCTCAGATTTAACGTCGTGGCCAAGGCAACGATCCTGCGTCGTCGTCGGCATCGTACAGCACACGGGTCTCACCCACGATCATCCCACGATCTCTCAGTGCACGAACCGGCGAGACACGCAGGACACAAACGCACTGCGGCCTCGAGTTGCACGGGGGTCGGCGCGGCCGAAAGGGAATTTCCTTGGTACGGTTCGACCTTGGCCAAGGCATATTAAACAGCACTGTTCAAGACACTCAATGAGCCAAGTAACTGTGCAGCACCAAACCAAAAACGGCTGTCTCCTTAGCCTTGGCTTGGAGAATAAACAAGGAAGCGAGGGAGAGGGAAGCGGAAGAAAAAAAAAAAGCCAGAGGGAAAGGGCGAGGGCAAGAAAACAGCGTGGTTGCACGGAATTTCGCCGGATTGTTTTGGACATCTGTCCAGGACTTCCTGGGCTGCTAGGGCCGGTCGTGTGACGAAAACCTGCAAGTGACGGACTTGAACTAGCAGAGGCGAAGATAAATGACGAATAGCCTCGATGACAATACGAAGGAGAGAAGTAATCTTGCGAGCTACCTTCGGGTCGAGGAGTGTCGGGGCTTCCTCCACTTTCTCACCTGGGGCTGGAAGGTTGGGAGGGTAGAATCGCCCAGCAGAATGAGGCTGACCCGAGATTCCCGGCCGGACCGACGGCAAACAGACGACGAATCTCGTGGTCGCCAGGCATCGGGATTGGGAAGCCGTGACATGTTGCATGAAATGCCTCTGCAGCTCGCTCGCAAGGCTCGCAAGGCTGCCGATGCATTCCGTAGATCTCATGCCCACGCGCGCATCATCTGAGAGTTCCAGTCAGCCTTTCCCGCCTCTCACTTCTTGGCGTTGAGGCTTGCATGATGCAACGACAGGTAGAAAATCACGGCAGATCGTCGTCGAAGAAAGGAAGAATTGCCCAAACTGTGGAATAATATCGACAACCCAGGTTTGTCAAACCCGGAGCCATGGCGAGGGCGGGGCCATGAGAACAGTACCGGAGTACTCAACGGAGTACCTCATCTCGTGTGACCCGTTTCGGTGTATCGTGTGTGTGTTTTTGCATTCGTGCTTGTGTCCGTACCTAGCATCAGATCAATGAATGATGACCCGAGTCCCCGTCGAGGTCGCACCGTGTCACAATTACTCCGTTCAAAGCATACAAACGGAGTTATCGCATATTCCCTCCCTGTGAGGTGAACATGCTTGTTCTCTAGACCTCGGCTGCGAGAAGACTGGCGATTCCCTCGTAGTGGTCAATCGCGTTGCTCCTCGAATGCATCTCTGCGAGGCTCGGTGCTGGTCGATGGAGTATACCGAGGCCACAGTTCAAGACCAGACTTCCCCTGGCAGGTAAGAAATGCATGCAGCCAACCGCAAGTAACACTGGCATGCACTGTCTCACAAACCCGAGATCCCCGAGATCTCGCGTGCACACGTACACCGATACTGTCGGACACCAAGAATGAAGGCTCCCTCGCACAGGGGCACAAGACGAGCCCAAACCGGTGAGGACGTACGGCTTGCTCCGTTATTCCAATCATCGGGTAACTAATACCAAGTACGTAAA